ATATATGAGTTTGTTACGGCGCGTACACCTATTTTTCAGTAGTTGGTACATTTTATTAATGTGTATCAGATTTTAGTAGACAAAAATACCCTTATATATGGATTCTAATTTCTAAGGGTATTTTAATAATTTTTATTCTCAAAACTAAAAAAAAAAAGAAACCTCCAAACCCTTCTCTCTCATTCCTCTCAACCCTTTCTTTTTCATCTCTCTAACTCCAACATTTTCTCTGTCATTCCTACTATAGCCCAAATTGAAAAAATCAGAAACACTTTAGGCAAAGGTTCATTCAAGATCTCTTCAATTTCACCATCTACGCTAATCTCTCTAATTTCATCATCTGCATATGTTGAATCATCATCTCTAAAAAAACCCTCCATGCCAATTATCAATTCTTTTGGATGTCATTATGCTTGTTAAAATTAGATAAAATTATATAGGACAAAAATTATAAAATGAAAATTCATTATAAAATCAGTTTTTGTAAGAAATTATTTAACAACGAGTATTTCTGATTTTTTCGAGGTCAATTACCAATTCCTTTATGCTTGTGAAATTTGGATAAAATTAGATAAAACAAAAATTATAAAATGAAAACTCATTATAAAATCATTTTTTGTACGATTGTTTAAAAGTCAATGTTTCTGATTTTTTTCAGTCGGAGCTATCATAAGATGACAAAGAAAATGTTGGAGTGATAGAGAGGGTTGAGAAGAATGAGGGAGGTGAGTAAGAGTTTGGAGGTTTCTTTTTTTTAGTTTTGAGAATGAAAATTATTAAAATACCCTTGATCTTAAAACTTAAAATCCATAATATATAAGGATATTTTTCTCTACTACAAGCATACGCACATTATATATATATATATATATATCGTATAACTGGACTGTCAACTATAAACAAGTAACTAGACGATCAACCATTACTGATGGATCGAACAGTAAAAAAATTACTACTAATACCAATTAACTTAAAACAAAGTGTAATTATTAACAATTGGATCATAATTAGATTTTTGTTAATCTAAAATTTATGTCGAAAATTATAAATACAATTATGAAATAAAGAGGTAGGTGATTATATTTAATATACATTAATTACTAAATTGTTACTTTGACATCAGAGTATCTTATTTGACCTAACAAACCTCTAAAATGAACCATGACAAAGACAAATATTCAAATATTTAACACGCATATGACATAATAAATAATTGATATGGACTCCATAATGAAACAATTCATATAACATTAAAATTAATGTAACGTAATGTACAAAATGTGCAGTAATAAGACAATCTTTACCTTTTGCTAAAATGAATAAATTTCATCTTACCGATATCAACTCTAAAAAAAATTAGTAAAATAAAATCAGTGTAAATTTTCAAAGTTTAATCAAGACATGGACCAATTTTATATGAAAAAAAAATCATAGGAATTTATAGGTAATATTTATTTCTTTATTAATTATTACTAAAACAATTTTTCTTACGACAAAATTAGCAATATTTGATTGAAGTTTACACGATTAAACCTATCCTATCCTATGTCTATGAAACCAGAAATTCCATGATTTTTCATAATCAATAAGGGAAATATTCTAAAATATTTGTGCAGTTTTAAGGTAATAAGATAAGAAAGAGAGATTAATGAGTTTGTTAGTTGATTACACCCTTGAAGGTAAGTAAAATATCGTATGCCAAACACTAATGATATGTAGCAGAACACTGAAAATCACCAGTGTCACTGTGAATCAAACGACAACATGCATGAGGGATGTTTCATCCTAGAATTCAATTTTGTAACAATTGAAACTACACCGAACTGCTTCTTCGTATTTCCATAATATCAGCTTTAGTAGAACCATGGTTAGTCACAGCTACAGAGTTCTTTTGTTTTCTAAAGCATTGGTCAAAGCATTGTTAGTATGAAAGATGGGAGTGAGAAAAAGGGATTCAACAGTAACAATGAACTGTTGATTGAAGAAATAATAACAAATATGTTGATGGGGTATCTTATTTTGTACCTTTTGCATAACGAGAAGAAATGGGAGCCTTCAAAGGGAAAAAAACCAGATGCCTCTCACACAAGAAAACCTTCAATTTTCACACATTAACAGCTACCTCACTATCAGACAAAACACCAACACAAGACCAAAGAAAGTGTCAAAATCTCATGCTAATTTGCTTTGCTATGGTTTGAATGCAAGCACTGTGAAACAAAGAAAGTGTTGAAGGTCTCACGACTAGATATAAGATCAATTTATAATATTCAATGAATTGCAAACATTACCTTACAAGCCGGTTCTCTGGGTTTGGGTTAAGCTTAAAGTTCATTTGTAATATGGTATAAGTGAGCATTTTTTGTTTTCATCCGTTGTCAGACCGCTGTCAGATCACTCAGTAATTTCTACTATTATACACGAGATGTCTATATCTCGGCGTGAAGGAGTACGCTGAAAGCATATGCTCTCGTGAATACATCCCTTTAGAGTTTGCATGGCAGGTGTCACCATGTTATTCACGGGCTTTGCAAAATTTACACAGATGTCAAATTTCTCACGTAGAGAAATGAACTGCCACCAAGGCAAAATGGTTTTTGGGTACGCTACCTACTAAAACAGATTAATCCCTCACGAACCCTGAATGACTTCATTACGCAGTAGTAGCTTCTCACTCATTCCCCTCACCAATAATACCAATTTCCACGCCTTTTTTTTTCTTATTTTCTCACTTCTGTATAAATAGAAGGAGTTGCAACAACACATCCTCATTCCCAAACCTGCACCAGATTGACAGATTGAGGGTTGCTTTGGGATAAACCCTCACAACACCTCCAGTCAGTCATATCATGGCCATCTTGGGTAGTCATAATCCTCTCGCAGCCACTTTTGGCATATTTGGTAACCACACACACCATAAACTTCATCGTCTCTATCTTTCATCATCACTTGCTTAATGTCTTTCTTCTTTTCTTGCACTATGTTCTTTAAGTAAATGATAGTTGAGTTATTGGTTGATCACAGATTCATTCCCACATATGGTTGTTGAGAATACCATATTCCACAATATTTAGAATCATCTCTGATAAAGACAAACTAACACACACACATTCTCCTTTTGAATTGTTCAGGAAACATCATTTCCTTTATGGTATACCTGGCTCCGGCGTAAGTACACGATTATCTCTATCAAATTTCCTGATTCTGTTTAAATATAATTAATTTGATTTTCCCTTACCCGAATTCTCAGGCGAACGTTTCAGAAAATCTACAAAAAGAAATCCACCCAAAGTTTCCAATGTCTACCTTACTTGGTGGCATTATTCAGCTCTTCACTTTGGTTGTACTATGCATCATTCAACATCAAACATTCCATTTTGCTTGTCTCGATAAACTCCTTTGGATGTGTGATAGAGATCATCTACATTGTCATCTTCATAAAGTATGCGGATAAGGATGCCAAGGTATATATGTATATATATATATATATATATTGATGTGTGCCTCAACCCAAAAAAAGTAAAACTTTTTCCATAAATTCTAGCTTATTGATTACCCATCACACCTACGCCATTCTTTAATCACAGAGATTAACCATTAAGCTACTTGCTGCAATGAACTTTGGGTCCTTGGCCTTGATCGTTTTGGTCACGCGTTTCGCCGTCGATGATTCCGATCAAGTGAAAGTCCTCGGATGGATTTGTGACGTGGTTTCAGTGATTGTATTTGCAGCACCTCTGAGCGTAGTGGTAAGCAAAATTTTCTATTCCACCAAGAGATGAAGTTACACGGCAGTCAATTTGCAATACTCTAACTAATTATTGGCGTGCAGTTACAAGTTATAAGAACGAAGAGTGTACAATTTATGCCCTTCTGTTTGTCATTTTCCCTCTTACTGAATGCCATAATGTGGCTCGCTTATGGTTTCTTTAACAAGGACATGTGCGTTGCCGTAAGTGCCTATACCATTACATAAAATTAGTAACAACTTAATCAGATATATTAATTTGATTACTATATTGCAGCTGCCAAATGTGGGGGGTCTAGCTCTGGGACTGCTTCAGATGTTGCTACATGCCATTTACAGGAATCGTGGTGCGAAGGAGAACGTAACGACAGACGCTGCAGTGACAACCTTTGTGGTGGTCGTGAATCCATTGGGCCCTCCAGAAGTGTTCTCAACTGCAGTGAAAGATGAACTATCACTGGAAGATAATAATAAAGGTGGAGAGGACGATGCACAAGGGAAAACCGTGGAAACCAACGATTGCCCTCTGTGATACGTATAAATAACACTACCCACTGCTTTGTTGTTACTGCTGCTGCTGCTGCAGAATCATTCTATCATCTTTATGTTATGCTTGTTCAAACCTTAATATCAATCAAGATATGCTTCAGCTTTACTGATTAACTCATTTTTACTTCCCTTTTCTCAATACTTCCATTGCTTTTACGGGTTAAAGGACAACTAACAGCAGCAATCAAAGATGCTTTAACAAACATCACGAAATTTAAGAAAGAAAATCATTAATTAATATGATCCACGCAGCTTTTGGAGATGAGTTCTCTTAGTTAAGCTTCAAAATCATTGTGGTTGGTTTTATGAACGAAAATCCAACTTCAAAACAGATGAGCCTCGAGATGGGTTATATGCAAAATTAAAGGATGGCGCAAAAAGAAATAAAGCAAACATTTTGTGGTGTATTTATGGTGGCTGTTAAAACCCAAAAGGTTGTTTGTGCATGAAAAAGTGAAAGGTGTTTCCTTTTTCTTCCTTTTTGTTAGCTTATTGTACCAGTTGATGACTGTTAGTATCAAATACGAGGTTTACACTTTGTCACACGTTTATGATCATAAACGTTAAAACAACAAAATAACGCTACAATCTCTTTCTGAAAACAAAAACTAAAATAATCTTTATATCCCTTAATTATACAATCATCGTCACGTCGTTATGAACATCTGAGTATTTTTATTATTATTATTATTATTATTATTATTATTATTATTATTATTATTATTATTATTATTATTATTATTATTATTATATGCTGAATCTGAGCCTAAAGGCTCAATCTGATGAAAATTGAAGCCCAAAAACACTTGTCCAATATGGGTTTCGATAGGACAAAAACACCCAAGTTCCATAAATTTAGGAGTATAATCTTTTAGATTTTGAAAAATAATTTTCAGAATAGAAAAAGCGAGACTTAGCTTTTTGTAGGATACAAGAAAAATGTCCAGGACATGAATCCCCAAATTACTTCAGACTAAGCATGCTTAACTATGAAGTTTTTATGAGTTAGGCTACCGAAAAGCAAATGCATTTGGTGATATGAGTAGCCAAATCAATCCCTTTAAGCTATCCTTCAACTATATAGTCCCATACCTATACAGTCTCTAAATCCCTCTCATTCTGGTGTATGTTCGATTCATCCATGTACCCCTTCCACCCGAAGCTGCCAGGAGCCGCTCCTTGTCAGTGCCCCTACATCATTCCTCTTGCACCGACGATCACTCCCCACTCTCGGGTGTCACACAGTTTCTCATAAATCTAGATATTTTTAATGGACACTGATACAATGATACGTCTATGTGGCGAAAACATTCAATTCACACGCTATTTTTCAATTTCTTTTTCAAAATTGTCCTTTCATTCTTAATTAGTATTAAAAAGAAATGAGATCCATCGTGTCATTTTGAGTGTGAAAAGCAAACTTATGTCAAAGTATTATTTTTTATTTTTAATTGAGTCCTTAACCTTTTTTTTATTACATTGAAAACTAAAAAAAAATTAAGTCCATCTCTTTTAATTTTGTTTTTTTAATTGTTTTACCACATTTTTTGTTTACTTCTTGTTTTTATGTGTGAAGTTTTTACAAGAAAATCTTTGAATAATAATTAATTTTAGGAACAAATTCAAACAATCAAGGGATTAGTATGATGTAAAAAAATTGCAAATATAATGTTTTAAGTAATTAAGCAAGGGAAGATTAAAGATATAAAAACAAATTAAAAATGTTTAATTCACAAATCTCATGAGTGGTTAATGTAATTTATTAATATTTTTATTACATTTTTAATTTAAAACATATATTAAGTTTTGAAATATTGGTTAGGTAACTTGTCAATAAGAACATATTTTCTCTTAACTCAAATATAAAGAAAGAAAGAAAAAAGTATTAAATGTTTCATATATTTAAATATAAACCAATTTCAACCATTGTTTACGATTTGGAAAGTATGATATTTACATTTTGAAGAAATAAATTGCAGAATAGATAGGCATTTTGCAGTAAAAATTATATATGAAACTTACAATACACAGTCCATGTTTATCAGTGTTTCCTCCCTAAAACAGGAAAAACCAGAGCATCTAACATTACTCATACATTCTAATTTCAACTCCCATCCCCCAGATATATTAAAACATTACTTGGCTTTAGCTTCAGCTTCAATCAAATTAGTCAAATATTTCTTGGCTGCAGCCATTTTCTCTATGCAGCAATGTAACTTGGAATGATCCTGCAAAATAATCAGCAAAGCTATGTGTGTATAAATTAAACTTTCAAATCTTTTTCTCTCTGTTTCATATTTACCCTTTAACATTATCATGCATAACGTTTGGTATCTACACTAGGACTTCAAAACAAGTCCGTCAGGACTAGCAGCATATTACATCACCACTGGGCTGAATTCACTCGCCGAAGCATTCGTCTTGGTTTACTCTTCTCCTCAACTGGAATAAGACACTCCATGAGCTGCACACAAAGAGTAAAAGGAGACTGATCACATTAACAGACATGCAGCAACCACTTAAAAGGTAATTATACCCTTATATAAGTTAAAGCCTTGTGGGTTTGTTGCCCAACCATTACTTGTCGAAGCCATTCTTAGTACAATTGTAAGAAAAGAGGGAGTTCACTTCACTCTCTAAACTCTAGAAACAATAATATTACTCCTGATCCCCGATTCATATTCAACCAAGAGATGTAAATGTAGGTATTGAAGTGATGCACTGTATGTAGCAGGTCTAAGAGTTCCAAGAATACCTTTCCAAGGATAAGTGGACAACTGACACATGGCACATGTGAATTAATTCAAGAGTATATCAAAAGTGCTGTGCCAATGAGATTGAATAATCCATCAAGAATGGTAGGCAAGACAATTTAGTGGGCACAAGACTATATGATCCGAGAGAATGAGCCAAAAAAGAAGTGGTAGTTCATCCGGGTGACTTAAAGATCAGTAAGAAGGCAAGTGATCCCAAAAGAAAGCAGAAATTGAGATTAAACCTAACCTAATCTAACCACTGCAATTATATGGATAGGTGGATTGTACCCTTCACATTGCTACTGCAATTGTATGCTGCAGCTGATCAAACCTAACCTATTGAAAGGCAGTTAAAACGTGAACATTAATTGACTTCTCAGTGAACATTATTAAAATTGCTAGGCTGACTCACCCCATGAACTGTAGTTGTTCGAATTCAGCATTCAATTCATAGTTATAAAAGCAAATAAATGAAAGTTGACTTGTTTTCTTGAGGCATTCAAGAATTACACCAATACAGTAACATCACCCAGGTTGAAACAGAAAGGAAGTGGATACTGTGCATACCTGATTGAACCTCTGCCTTCTCCTTTCAGCCTGCATATAACAACACCCAATATTTCATAAACTCACGAATCATATGTTAACCAAAAAAAAAAAGCACAAAAATCTCCAGCAAGAATCAACCAAGAAAAACCAGATTTTCACAGCTGATAATAATAAATTAATAAAAAAGAAGATGAGGTGTGAGGAAACGAACCTCTTCCTTTAACAATCGAGCATTCTCTTCCTCGAGAAGTGTAACCAAAGACTCTAACTCAACTGTATAAGCCTGGAAACAACAAACATCATCATCATCACAAACTGTCACTCGCCGAACAAGTTTCAAATAAAAAAATAAAATAAAATTGAAAAGAAAAAAGAGAAAAGGGAATAGAAAAAAACTACCTGCTTGCGTTCCCTGGACCTAGCGGCAGATTCTCTGTTTTTTATCATCCTTCTCTGTTTCTGAAGAGTAGCCCTATCCACGACGGCTTCCTCCACGGCCTTTCTCTTTCCCCTTCCCCCGTGAGAGGGCGGAACGGCGTCGTTTCCGGCAACGGAGGTCAACAACAAATCGTGGAGGCTGATTGCCATGTCCTGAGACTCAGCGCCCCCGACCACCTCGTCCCATACCTGGCTCGAAATCGAACTCTGCGGCGGCGCCACATCGGGATTCGTCGTGACCACCACCTTCGACGATGCCATGTCCTCTTCTGAATTCTGTGTTTGGTGATAGTTATTATAGAGAATAGAGAATAGAGAATAAATAATCACCAAACTCTCTTCACTTCCCCCAACACATCACAACTATATCGTTTTACGCTAAACCTTATTCTTGTGTAACAAAAACTATTAATAAATTCTATCACAAACTAACCATTAATATTACTTTCTAATTTCCATTTTTGCCTCGGCAAGATTTCAAAATACATTAACCTTTCTAATATTTAACATACTTTTATGTTTTTAATTACAATATATTTTGTAATTCATATATGCAACTAAAGAAAAAAAGGAAATTTATTTATTTATGTTTATGATGATAATAATGGATATTTAATATTGGAAGTATACTTGGTGAATGGAGAAAAAATGTGGTGGTTGGTGGAAGTGTTATTAGTCGAAAGACAATGTTTGGTAGATTTGGTACGATTGGTAGAAGAATGAAGTTTGTGTTAAGAAAACAGTTTTGAAAAAAAGATGGACAGCACAAAAGATTTGTGTGGAATTAAGTTATTCATTGATTAAATGAAATATTACGACATTTAAAAAGTAAATAAATGATAATTCGTGTCTCATTCATATTCAAACATTCATTTTTTTTATTTTTTTATTTTTTTTATTTTTTTTATAGTGATCGGTATGATTGTTCTGTACAGTATTTAACGTCGTTTTAAATATGTTTTTGTAATGTATAGTTGACATTTTTTAATATTTTTATCACTTGTTACAGAAGAAGTGGGTAAAACTATTATTTGAGCATCTGGTTTATATTAAATTAATTCAATTTTAATATATATTTTTAGTTATTCTTTTTATTTGTTTTAAAATATTTTTTTAACAGTTTTCAAGTTTTGTATAATATATTTTTTCTTTTTCTTTACTCAAATATTGTACTATTAATTGTAAAAAAAGAATAGTTCAAAACAGAAACCAATTAATATTGTACTATTCTTTTTTTACAATAATGCAATAAATTAATATCAGCTAATAAATTAGTAGCAGCATGTCACATTCAACAAAAGGAAAAAATAAAACATGATTGATGAAAAGTGAATTAAAGGTGCATGAAAATCTAAACGCGTTTTCATTAACAGTAACTGCCAAAAGCTGAATAACTATAGTGAGATGATTAAACTTTACGACATCATAGTTTTTGTTTGAGAAATAAATATTAAGATTTTAATTATTTCACTAAACATCTTTAGTCATAAAGATTTTTCTTTTACATAAATTACTTTTCTATTTTACTTTTAATAATATTTTAACATTATAATGCAAAGCTAACAAACAATTGAAACATGATTGAAAAAACTAATGAATAGTAAAATGAATTAAAAATAATAATCAGTACCCACCTTTTGTACAAAATTAATCTCTAAATATTTAAAATATTTAATTTTATGTAATTTGATATAATATATAATAAATAATATTTAAATTATTTCTATATAATTAATAAAAATTATATAAAATAAGAATAGTTTTCTTCATAATGATTTGGTGAAACAAATAATTTTATCCTGATTTTTCATATTTTAAATTCCATTGATCATTAGCTTATTAATGAATGATAATTTTGGTAAGAATATTATCATTTAAAAGTTTCTGATAAAGCTGCGTGGAACTGTATGAATTTTTGTTAAAAAAGTGAGTGTAAATAATAATAATAATAATTTTATAAGTTACTTTAATATGAAGGCTTACATCTTTTGTTCCTCTTATGAATTAAGTATGTCAATCAAAAGAGATAAAATTTTCCTATAAGTTTTTTTTTTTTTAAATCTAAGCCTAAAATATCCAAGAAGAAGAAAAATATCTTCTCTATTAGTAAAAAAAAGGAAAATGACACAAAAAGTGATAAATGTTTTAGTCACATGAGATTTCTTTCATATTAAACATAAATTTACATTTAAGATATTTACATGAAATATTATGTATAGATTTCAATTTTATAAGATTAAGCGAGATCTATAACACGAAGAGAAAAAATCTAAGAAAAAACTCTCAAAATTTTAATAATTTTTTTTATATGATCACATAAAAAAAATAGATTAACCCAAAATAAAAAAAATATTAAATCATCTCATGTAGGTTGATTATGTTATGTATATATGTTTAAATATAAAAGTGTCATAAAAAAGTACAAAAATTAAGTACACAAAAAGTAACTTATAATAAATAATAACTTATAATTATGTTAATAAAGAAAAACTTGACGGCAAATATAAAATTAGATTAAGTTTCTTATTCTTGTGTTAAAATTTTGATTTTTGTCTTTGCATAATTATATATCACTCATTGCTTATTGTCCATGTATTCCTTTGTTTTAAAATAATTATATAATATGTACTAATAATATATTTATACTTGTGTCTTTTTACTTATGTAATTAAGACAAATAATCACATAGGAAAAATTTAATATATTTTTGTGATTTAGTAAAATATATCATTATTTTATTATAGTAAAACTTGTATTATTGTTTATCTAGATATATCTTTATACTTTAATAAAGGAGAGTCTTGTTTATATTTTCATCTACAGCCTGCAGAGTATCGTAGATTGTTTTCATTTTTTTAGAATGCGTTGAGTTAAGCCCCAAAACTCCTAAGATAATTTGGAATAATTATTTATGAAATAAAATAAAATAAAATAAGTGTTGTGTTTTCGTGACTAATTACTGTAAAAAGTTATGTTATCGTAATTTTTTTAGTGTTTTACGATAATAAAACTCATTAAACTTGAAGTTTAACCTTTTACTGTATAAATAAAAAAAGAAAATCATCATCAAACATAGTGTAATTTTTTTCTGGAATATAAAATTGTAATTTATTACATCAGAAAAACACTTCTAGGAAAGTGGATGTCTAAAGGCTCTTGTAACATAAATGCCCATAAAAAATTTAGTTTTTAAATGTTCTTGTTTCATAAACATCAAATATGAATTGAACTTAATACATCCAATCATTATATGTTCCGTTTAATTAGAAAATTAATGAACTCAGTATAAGTGTTTTTATTATAAACAATATTTTAAAAAGCTCCTGTTAAGTTATATATCTCTAGCGTTTTCGAAAACATAGAATATAAACGTGTATCAATAATTTATTAATGAAGTTAATGTTTTAATTTAGACTATTTTTCAAACTACGTGTTAAAATGGTTATCTTGATAGAGATACTACAAGAAAATACAGAAAATGGATTCACAATATCGGTAATTTATTAACCAAGTTAATAATTTATATTTGGGTCAAGTATAATGTTAAAATAAATTATTTATACAAATTTTGCAATTAAAAAAAAAAAGTTGGTTTAAGCTAATCAAACCGGAACATATAAAAGGCATGTTAGTTTCTTGACATGTGGTGGAAGGATGATACTTCACCTCACTATTGGAAAATTAATTTATTATTTTTAGAAATTAAATGATTTTGTGTCAAATCACCTTACCTTCTTACACTTGCGAGGTAGCAAACCATTAATTATCATTTCTAAGGGTGAATGGTTCTTGCAGGTCATAGCAAGAAAATTAAAATGTTTATATGAATTTTTTTGGAAAAATGAACTTCTTAATTAGATTGTACTAAGGAAAATATATATATATGCTTTTAAATAAAATGTGATATTTTTACATAGGTGTACACAGGAAGAAACATTAGAGTGGTGCAGGAAGAAGCGGTATGTAATTTGTTTGAAAAAGGGAATTGAAGTGCAAAAAGGCCGAGTGTTGGAAAAGCCCAGGAAGGTAGGCCCAGAAAGAAAAGGGTGGGAAATTGGCAATAAAAGACTAAAGTATGAACATAACGGAAGAAGTAATATTTTGAAAGAAAAAGGGCGCGAAAAGAAGAAGCGTGATCTTGAAAATGTGGAGGAGATTGGGTGGAGTGTGGGTGAGGTGCATCGTAGTAGCGATATTGCTGAAGGCCGTTAGCGTGAGGTGCAAGCCCACAAGAGAGTTTGATTCCATGCTGAGCACCGTAAGGGCCAGAGGCTACGACCTCTTCTGCAACGCAATCGTCACCTCTGATCTTCAAATGGACATTCTCTCTCACCAGAACGACAACAACGCCACCTCACGCGCCTTCACCTTCTTCGCTCCCACAGACGCATCTCTCTTCGCCCTCGACATGACTCAGACCGCCTCCACTTACACCGACACGCTCCGTTTCCACGTCGTCCCTCGCCGCCTCTCTCTCGCCCACCTCCGCCTCCTCCCCGACGGTTACACGCTTCCCACGCTCCTCCCTCAGCGCCTTCTCCAACTTACGCGCCGCAATACCTCTGCCATCGCCGTCGGCGGCGTCGACGTTGCTTTCCCCGGCCTCTATTACGGCCACTACTTCGCCGTTCACGGCCTCGCCGGAATTCTCAGTCCCCGATCCAACGTTTATCCTTCTCCTTCTCCTTCGCCTTCGCCGTCGCAGTTTGCTCCTCCGGTTCGTTCAAGAAGCAGTCCTAACTCGCCGGCGAACCAACCGGTTCTTGCTCCAGTTCCGAATTTCGCTTCGTTGCGCGTTCCCCCGGTTGAGGCTCCGGCATCGGCGACTTCGCCGGTTGGTTCTTCAGAAGAGGAGTCTGAGTGGAAAGGTTATACTCCAGCAGGTTTGCCTCCGAGATATCCTGGTTCAGCAATATCACAGCCACCGGAGGGATATTCCGACGCTTTGGCTTCAGCTCCGGCGCCCGAAGCATTAGAAGGAATGAGAAGGTGTCTGAATCCCGTTGTGGGGTTGGAAGAATCTGACATGCAATGCCATTCAGCATGAATCGTACATTTCAATTTGAGTGACACTCACACTGCCACTGAATGCAAATGAAGTTTCTTTTTTGTTTCTTTGGCTTTTTGGAGTTTTAGAAATTTCCGTGTATATCTCTACAGCCAAACAAAAAATTGATTTGTTGCTGTTGCTTACACGTGCTTGGGTTAATGAACAAAAATCTTACTGCTATGATTAAGAAATCATAACAAACACATGAAATTTATTATGTAAGACCAATACCTTTACGAAATATACAAAGTGTTATTATACTAATAACTACGATAGTAATAATTTAGAGACAAAATTGTTTACAAAGATTATGATAATAATAATATTTTGTAATTTCCTATTACAAAAGGAGCTTTCTTGAATATAATATATTGGTTTCATCATGTAATAGAGATTGAAGAGTTAAGCATGCTGATTTTGACCAATGAGAAGAATTTGTTAGGTTAGTAATGTATTGTGTATTCAATAAGTTGAAATGATGGTCAACATTCTGAAATCTTCCACAGAGAATCATGCTATAAATTTTGTTTATTCGTTAGAACAATGGTGCGTGGAAAGCACGTAAAACTTTTATTTTTTCTGAGAGAATAGAAAAGTTTGACAAATAAGAAACGTATCCACGTGTCACTGTTATAGTAAAGTAATATTAAAATTATTTAAAAGAGAAAACAAAAGAAGCAGTTATCCTTAACTTTTTCTATTATTGGTTGAACACAGAAATCGTTTATGTTAGAGTGAGTGATATTAAGTCGGTCTCCTTTCTGAGGAAGGAACAGAATAAATCAAAATCCTTATGAACGAAGGAGTGGATAAGTAACTTGCAGAAGCAAGTTTAGAACCCAACGCGTAAACGTGTGGTTTAAATATAGAAAGCATGACGATGAAATGATGATATGGCACCAAAAAAAGGAAGAAAGGAAGAAGCATGATGGTGACATTAATTGAATAGTAATAAAGATCACAAAAAAATTATAGAAGAAAAAAGAGGAAAAACCTAACGAAAAGATTAAAGAGGGAAAAAGACAAAGGTAACACGTATGTGTATTTAGTAAGCGATAAACAATCGTTTTAAAAAGCCTATAAAACGATGTCTGGGTTGTGTTTTGTTTCAGCGTTTTTACTCTCTCTCGATGGCATGCGAAAAGGAGAAGAGTGGTGAGAAGCGAAAAAACCTTGGTATGTTCACCCAAACGGAGATTGAGATGGCGAGGCAGCTCGTACAACTTAGCAACAGCATCACAGATTCTAGCAGCACTGATTTGCATGAAGATGGGCGTAGCGAAAGCGTGGAAGGGAAATGGAAAAGGAGCAACGATGAAGATATTAGTGATGCAGTGGAGGATGTGTTGGCAGAAATTGAAGAAGATGAATGCTTAAGGAGAAGAAACAATAGGTACCGCTACATTCAAGATTTGTACAATTCTACAAGATCCTCTGAGGACAAGTGTACATAATCCCAAGTTGGTTTGGCCTGTGAGAAACTTTCACAAATTTGTAGACACAGACATGAGTATTGTATTATATCTTAGAACTGCAATATTCAGAAGATAGAAATAGAATAGTATGTATATATATTAGCGTGGTTAGTCATGTGAATGGCATTTTATTCAACAATTTCTCCATATTACGCTTTTAGGATGTTCTACTGTAGAAGTTCAACATGGTTAAAACATTAGTATGCATCGAAGATGAATAACTTAGAAATGAAGGTATGAGGCAGCTTCCATCTACATTGCCACACTAGAATCCAAAATCCAACTATAAGGAGTAAACAAGGTATGAGATTACTTTCTAAAACTAAAATCCAATCAGTATTAATATTGAATTGACTGTAGTAGTTTAAATTATATTCCAAAATTATCATCTAACAAGGAAAATAAGATTTTCATGACAAACGATTCAGAAAACATGATAAAATTTAGGTTTATTTTTCTATATTATCTTATAACAATTTATTGAAATTAAAATTAATCTAAACAAAATAGATCTTCTTATAACTACCTTTAACTTATGTGTCAAAACATCAAATTTATTTCACACCATCTATTTTAACTATAACGAATTGTATCTTGTGGTTTATCGCACACTGAATGTACCACAACAAAATCCCACACATCAAACGGTAGCAGTGTCGGTACGTTAGTAATGTACGTGTCGTACAAACGACAGATTAAGACAAATATCAAAATATTCATTATAATCGAAATATACAGACGGACATTTCTTCCTAAAAAAAGTCTAATATGCAAAATTGAAACCGTTCCACTATCACATAAGAGAGACTGAGAGAGAATTGTCGAAAAACTATCAAGTGAGACGTGAATTTCACCAATCGGTGCTAAAATTAAAAAACATAGAGATTAGCTACAAAATTATCAACAGTATACATTCACTTTCAAGAACATAGAACGTTTGATTGATCAATTTGAGAAGAATTTCATATAAAATGAAACATCTAATTCTTCATAACTAAAAGCTTCGATGCTTATGATGGAAGACATATTCGGTCAATCCCTGCAATTTACTATGATCAAGGTTCTGCGCGGTCACAACAGGTTGTTTCTTTACAATAAGCATCTGAGAGGCAGGGTCGACAGTCCAGCCTTGCTGTAGTACATCTAAATTATACAACCAAGCACGTCAATAATGACAATAAAGAGAGTACGCAGACAGTCCAATCCAAATACAAAATATAATCAATATCCAATTTCAAAAGCTTCTAGGACAGTGAAAATTACTTACAGTTTGTAGCATCATCTTCAATCGTTCCCAGAAATAAAGCAGTGTCTTTAATGCTTATTGTTGAATAAGCAGAGAAAAGCAGCTGAAACATCTCCCTTGTGTAAAGTTCTGGAAAATTTTATTGGTGTTAACATTTTTATCGTACTAAACACCAGATATAGGTGCACAAAGCTATTTGGAAAGCAATATAAAACAAAGAAGCATATTTAATAAAACAAAACATAAGTTATTGTGAAGGAGCACAATACATTACTACTTCACTACTTTTACGCAATATCTATACATCCTCTATCTTCGGTACACGTTAGCCCAAGAAATCACAACATTCGTCTACATAAACATATTTTCATGTTATATGTGTAGGGGGTAAGGAAAGTCCAACCAAAACATTTTTAATTTTTCGAGGTCTAAAATATAATACATTTTGTTCTCTCCAAACTAATAATTATACGGTCCCAGTGCTTTCAACCATTACGGAAATCTCACAGCAAAAATAACAATGCATAGTGTTGCATAAAACCAATAATACTTTAAACAAATTAATTGATCCACACATAGACTCTTCACCAATTTCCCGACCCAGAAAGTGTATAACACGTAGTCTATAATTAACATTCAATAAAATTAACATGAAACGGATTATAATAAAGTGAGGACAACATTTTTTATGAAGTTATGACCTAGGATAAAAGCTTTCGTCTCAAACACAACATAATTTACATATATACAGTTGGATTTTTAGAAGACAATCGAAGTGACAACAAAGTGAGTAGACTCGCACAACAGGTTTTTAAAGACTTGCCTGAAAATGAAGCAACTAGGCCTTGGACATCCTGACTCCAATCAAAGCCACGGATTGCCTCGTTCACTCCAGCATAGTCACATAACCAGAGCTTCTGACAAAAATGACGAAGGTATTCTCTAAACCACAGTGACTTCAGGCTGGCTTTTTTTGATTGACGAAGGTATTGATTTCCAAAGAAAACGCGCACTGTTGCTGCAAAACCAGAACATCACTTCCAAAATGAGATACACAAACACACGTATTAAACGAATCAAATGCAAGACATGAATTATTTATCTCGGAAGCAACATGTGAGTAAAGTAATAGCCATTTCGTTCAGATATACAAGAATGTAAAGAGCGAAAACAAGAAGAGAATTGAAAGATAGATACATGTCGTGAACATAAAAGTGAGCGAGGAGGTGAATGGCGTAGGGCCAATCGTCCTAGTAAGCAATGTCATCAGCTGCAACCTGAGTGAGGATTCGTGAATTTGAAGTTAGCCACAAACCCTAATGAAAGGGGAAAAAGAACAAGAATCAAATAGACAGCAACCTGAGGCATTAGGTTATCGCATACATCCGCAACTTTGTCGTACGACTTCGAATCCAACGTAAAGAGAAATTCATCAATCTCCCATCAAATCCCTATAGCAGCAAAACTCAAACTAAGCGCCAACCTCGAAATTCAAATAAAATGGTCAGTTAATAATTCTCTTACGCTACCAAACACGGCATTAGCAGAGCCATACCTCAATTCGATGCGATGAGATGAAGTGAAGATTGAAAAGCTCTCCAGCGAAGACCTATATATACTTTACGATAACGATGTCGTTCTTACATTTCTATCCGACACCTCCACAGCCTTCTCCCTCCACCTCCCCAATTATCTTTAATTCCAATTATATCCTTAAAGTTAAAAACTTTTTATTTTTATTATTTTATTATTTTAATATTTAAATATAAACTAATATAAATATACATTATTAAAATACATTAAAAAGATATTCAAAAATAATAAATCAAAATATTAAAATATCTAATAAAATAATAACAGAAACATAAAATTAAAACAAAGCTTAAACGGATCCGTTTAAGAATGTCATCCGTTTAGGCTTCGTTTTCATTTTACGTTTTAGGGTTAAAGGATTATTGGAAAGATTATTGGAAGGGTTTAGGGTTTAGGGTTTAGGATTATTGGAAGGATTATAACTACGTACCTGGAGAGGAACCACGACAAGCACATTACACCACAAACGCACTGCACCGAAAGCAAGAGGAAGATTGCTTGATAATTTTTTTCACGATCAATGAGTTTTGCAGAAAAATATTTTACTCATACAAGGAACTATGTAGGTTATCAGTGAAATATGTTATAAATGAGTAAAATTAAAAAACAATAATTCTAAAAATAAAATTTTACTGAGGGGCAAAATAGTAAAGGGGAGGTGGAGGGAGAAGGCTGTGGTGGTGGAGGGAGCAATACCCCTATCCCTGACAGTACCAAAAAGTGTGTGCTTTTCCAGCCCAACGAAGCATTGGGTGCCTGTAAGTGAGGCCCATAAGGCCCAATATTGAAAAATATTGGGTGACTGGGATTACGTTGTCGTATGCTGGTCTTGTAATTGGGCTAACATTACCGAATAATTGTATGAAAAATTATTAATCATCTATACCAGTATTACTTTCGTTCTGTATATTATTTTTTTCATAATTTGAAAACTATTGACGTTGTTATTTATGTTTTCAGTTATATTTTATTTAAAAATTATTGTAGCAGTAATTTATTACAAGAAATTAGATGTATAAAAACGAATATTTGGCTTAAATTCAGTATGTTATATTTATTAAATAATCTGTGGCATATATATAAACCTGTAAATTTGGTCTCCTCAGGTGATTTGATCCTCACCTATATGAGTTGGGTCCATTGAGGTCAAAATATCCACAAAAATTCAATGGGACTAAAATTAGTCCATGAGTTTTTCTTTAAGAAAAAATATTTATTTTGAAGATATGAAAAAATGTAATTAATTCTTAATCTATCATAAATCTAGATGTTTTTAATTTATCGAATAACTATATACAAATTTTAATCAGACTAATATAAATTTTGTAAAAAGTATTGATTATTTACTTAGAAAAGTTATATATATATATATATATATATATATATATATATATATATATAT